TTGTGTTTTATTCAGGACTGCCCTATATAGTCAGTAAATGTACAAAAACCTACACATCTGAATGCTTTCCTCCAATTCAGCTTTGAAGTAAGATCACTGGTTTAGACAATTTTACAGAAAAACATATATGGATTCAGAAGTGCAAAACACAGACTTTATCTTGAACTTTCTCATCTGCATTTCCACATTCCCAATGCTGCAACAGCAAAGCCTTTTTCATTTACCAGAGGAAAAGCACAGGCCCTTTCCCATTACCTTAGTTCCACTCTATTCCAACATACTATCTGCTGAATAATAGATCTCATGAAATAGCATGACACAGGCTCTCAAGTAAGCTGAAGACTGACACAAAAGATATCTGCCTAAGAAATCACAGCTTTATTTTCTGTTTTGCAAGATTACAACTCAATAAATATTCATGTTAGGTGAACACTATGGAAGGAGAAAAATATTGTATAAACAAGTGAATCTGGAACTAGCAGAAGCCACTCCAGAAAAAAAGAGGCTTGATGCAAAATGTACTAGTGTTCCATGTATACTCTGGTTTTGCTTCACAGTCAAAGCCCCCCATCCAACATTTCTGGTAACATCATATGATCAAAATCCACAGCAGGATAGTTAGAAGGAATTAATTTTGAATTGCTTTGTCCTCCGAGGCCTCAAGGGACCTCTGTTCTATACAAGAAGGTATAAGAAAAACATTTACCAAAGATCACCATGCCACTAACTTACATATCACAAACAAAGCCTCTTAAAAAAGGTCTTATCACTAGGAAACGTTAGCCACTGAAGAGTATCCATAGTTATAGCTGAAGCGTCAAGCAAAAAATCTCACCAAGGCAACTCTATACTTCAAGCAACTGCTCACCCAGGTACTATTTAGTTTTTAAAGTCACGTGAAACCAAGTTCAGTCAGGTATGGCCGCCTACTTTCAAGCATCTTGTCTCCAGCTCTTCATTTTCACAGTCTTGTACACTATCAAGGCATTCTATCTTACAGGTATTTAGTTATCTATTTTAATACTTGTTTACCATGATAATGTTACAATTTCAGCTAACCCTCATAAAATATATCCAGTAAAAAGGTTCAGGATGCTAAGAGCTCTAAAAAAGACAAATCTTAGAGCGCATGTTCTGAGGGGAGAGAGACAAGGGGTGGGGGGGGCGAGCGGTGTGTGTGTAAAATATCAAAGCCATGCATTTTACAAAAGATGACCTTAACTGAGACAAATCAAACTGCTTAAGAGAGCAATACTGTTTATGTAACCTTCTAAACATCAGGCTTTGCTATTGCAAACATTATAACTGAATTTCCTTCCTTAAGTAAAAAAAAAAAAAACAAACCCAACAAAAAAAACCCAAAAATACACCAAAAAAACCCCACACAACAAACTACAGAACCAAGCACCTGTGCATGTTATTTTAAGATACCTGACTCTTGATTTTAATTAGGTTTTTACAGCCAGGTCCTATTCTAGACTCTGTTCTGTCCCTGACAGAAGTGTACGCATAAAAGGACAATACTTCAAACAGAAGTTCAGAAAAAGAAGGAACGGAAACAATTATACTTATGTTTAAGGTCAAACGGGGGCAGCCACAGTATTTTATACCAAGCACTAACCATCTGTTTCCATCTAACTTCATAGATTCTGAACCAAAATTATCCTAGCACAAAAACAAAAGAATACACAAAAACTGTGCTATTTCCTGAGCATATGTAGATTCATCCAAAGGTTGAATGTAGCTAGAAGAAAGTACCAATTAAATTTTGTGCTTAAACATAACTAATAAACAAATGCAAAAATTAAAGAGTCAGTTTTCTTCCTCGCCTCCTCAGTTCCTATTACATTTACTCCCTTTGTGGGATTACACTTAACTCACTTTTCTTTGGAGTCAGTGAGGAAAGAAAACAGGTCATCATGTGAAGTCACATACATAAAGTGGTAGAAGCCACACAGAAAAATGCAGTTCAAATACCAGCATGATGAGCAAATGCATTGAAAGCGAAATACAGAGTTGAAGAAACCAAAGGAGGGAAAGCACTGAAAACCTGCCTAGTACTTAAACAATTCAGCGTATTTCTAAATCACTTTGTATGGAGAAAATACACAGAGACTCCCTTCTGCTGAGAACTGTACAACATTGACCAGAGGGCAAGAGAATGTGAAGGTCTGGCTGGTCAGGTAGCAGATCGTTCTTTTACCTGCAAATCTTGCCTTGCCAGTGTTACAACTGTAGATAGTCTTAAGGGCAATCTTACCACTAAGACACTGGAAGATAATTTATTTAGTATATATATACTTACTGGCTGGAGGTAGGACAGTACATAGAAGACAATCAAGTTATCCAAAAAGTAAAGAAAGGCAGGAATTGACCATTTCATGGAATTACAAAAATTCTTCCAGGAAAGACATTCAAAGGGATGATCCAAACAACCATCTGATAAGAAAAAAAAAAAAAAAAAAAAAATCAGTAAGAAAGACATCCTTCTTATTATTGAAAGTCCATTCCCTTATAGCAGAATAGGTACCACTCTTCTCTTTTCAGGAGCACTGTCGGACTGAAAAAACTAAGGTACCACAGCCCTCTGGCCACACAGAGGACAGATCCAGGGCAGAACACACAGCTAGAGCAGCTATCCTGTGGTTACGGGCATTCACCTCCTTGCTTCAGCAACCAAAACATCAAGGAACCTTCTACTCCCATCAGAATATTTGTCCACTGGGAACAAAAATTCAATTATCAACCCTTCTTTGAGGGCCAAAAAGCACCCTAAAGTCCCCACACAATAGCGACATCATTACTGGGTATGATTTTCTGATGATTATCAATCAAAACTAGAACTGAAACAGTGACACAGGCAGTGGAGCTGTTCATACAGCACCCAAAGGGCAACCAGTAATGTCAGAAAGACAAAATAAACCACAACTGAGTATATGTAGCACACAGCACATGATCTGGATAAAGAGAGAACATATAGGAAGAAGGAAGAAATAAAAGACAAGGCACAATGACATTTACTTTGTTATTCAGGACACACACTTTAGGAGAAAGACTGCGATAAACCTTAGGCTACTCTAGAGTTGGTGACAGAAATACTGTGTGCTACCACAGATTTAAGACTACACACGTTATCTAATCCTCTTCTGAACCACCAACACATCAGCTCAGCAAAACTCAAGACATCTGGAAGAAAAAAAAAAAGGGGAAAAAAAACAAAAGGAAGAAAACCAGAAAACATGTCGTCCACAGTAGCCAATGATGGCAAACACTGACTGAATATATTTACTATCTTAGGTATATCTGTACTAAATGGTGGAGTAAAAATTTCATCGGCGTGTCAGAACCATGACTGTTATATGGAAAAGGGGACAAACCTAGCACTTCAGTTTAACATGAGTCTCCGGTGCCTGACACCCTCTTCCTCTTCCAATCTAAAAGTCTCTTTTCTACCGTTTTGAAATGCTATGAAGTTAACCTCTCATCCTTTTTACATTAGGATAGAAAAGCCAAGAAAGAAAAAAGAAAAATAGCCTGCAATATAAAACCAGTGGCTAGTGAAGCCTGACACCGCTTTTCCTGAACAGCAGCCCCAAGATTTGACTTCACAACAAAACTACCTTGAATGTATTGATATGCTGCTTCTGACTCAAATACCACTACAGACAGACAAAGCCCCTTCAGTGATGGTGCTTTTAAAACTGTTCAGAACAACAGAACACAAAGGCCAATCCTTGAGTTGGTGCTATTTATAAGCTTCTGTTCAGTCATGACTTCACAGCAAGTTGTCTCCTATTATCCTAGCATGATACTGTGTTAAAAATCTGAAAATGTTAGACTGTGTCTTCATGACGTTTCTATTTCAACTTACCTGTCCCCATTTCAGCTACCATACATACAACTCAGGAACACCTGAATTTACAACATGGAATGATAAAAGTAAAGTTTAGTTATAAAGCAAGGAAGACACAATTCCAGTGAACCCTACTAGCAAGACCTACTCCATACTACTACATGTGAATCTATAATTAAAAAAAAAAAAAAAAAAGGGGGATTTGAAGTAGAGCAAATCTTAGAAATTCAACAAATTTTAGTTATTTTCAACACAGGTACTTACCTTTTTTCTTAACCCATAGTGCCAATACCACACACAGGACCAGTTTTACTACTTCAGAACATATGTTCACTGTTGTAGGAAGGTAATCATATTTGTTATCTGTGGGATTCAGCAAATCATAGAGGGTACACAATTAGATTCTGTCTTCTGCATTCACAGAGCAAGAAGCTATTTTAACCCCTGCAGTCAGCATTTAGCCTTTTGCATTTATGGAAAGTGGCTAATGTCAGCACTTTCATTATAAATACTCCAATTTTTATGATATACAACTTCCTGAATGGCCTCCTTTCTGGGCTGAAATCTTTCCTCATTTGGTCCCAGTTCACAGCAGAACTTTTTTGGAAGAACTCAAGAACAGCACTGTTTTAAAACAATGTAAGAATGGGAATGTTTTCCCCAAAGAACAATATTCTTTTTTTTCCCCTCACAGAAACCAGCTTCCAGGATGACACAACCTTCTTCTAGGACTGTATCTTCCCGTTGTTAGCATATTTTGCTAATACTTGGCAAAAGGAGAAGCAGCAATACTAGCCAGTTATAGCACGCCCACTACGATACCACTTTTTTCCTTAGCCTGTTGTGAGACAAATATTTCAGTAAAGACACATACATTGATAGTGCTTACACAACAATTTAGTCTCTGAAAATCAGCTATAAAATAACTCACTGCCTCATCTTTTAAGGGTGAATCTCCACATGGATCATACACTTTGCAACCCAAGTTACCAGTTTATGTTAGACCAGCGACTATATAGAAATTTTCCAGTACAGAAGAAATACATGTTACCGCTTATATAATAGAATGTTTATGCTAAAAACTCTGCACATGGAGAATTAAGCTTTTGGGTATCTGTTTTACCCCAAACATCAACTCTTTCTTATTTGACGTATATTATGTTTATTGCCCAACAGCACCTTCATTGGCAGAATACTTCATCAGGAGGATTCGACTTGAGCCCAATGCAATAAAGACTCCTCCAAGCAGAAAAGTATAAAAGGTTGTCTTGGAGCAAAACACCAATCGACTACAGCACTTGGTCTCCATTTTGCTGTCTTGTTGTCAATGCCCTTTGGACGACAAAATGAAAATACACTGTAAATAGTACCTCCAGAAACTGATTAAGCAAGGCGAAACACATGTACTTTACTGCTTTGTGTTATCTTATACAAAGATGCTTACATCACAAGCCATGATTTCATTCTAGTTATCTTTTTCTTTTTTATTTAAAAGAAAATGAAATTAAGAGAGAAAAGAATATGCTATGACAACTAGCAAAGGGGGATAAAATAACATATACACAGTGACTCAGAAACCAGCACGAAGAGGCCAGTTTGTCAGTAGAGCACATCTATGGAACACCGATTAACTAAAAGAATTAAATCAATAATATTCTTTAAATATTTTTAAATGTTCTTATTCCTAATTCAAGCAAGGAAAAGTTTTACAGCTCTAGAGCGAAAGCAACATCTCAAAGATGATCTGAGGCTTACTCGGTCACTAGCTTGCGCCCCCGAGGCAGGGGAGGAATAGGGATTGCCGGAGGCAGAGCTTAAGCTGT